CTCCCTGGGAACCCGGTCATACGCCTTCTCCAAGTCTACAAAACACATGTAGACTGGATGAGCGTACTCCCAGGCCCCCTCCAGGATCCTTGCGAGAGTAAAAAGCTGATCCGTCGTTCCACGACCAGGACGGAATCCGCATTGTTCCTCCTCAATCTGAGGTTCGACAATCGGCCTGACCCTCCTTTCGAGTACCTTAGAGTAAACTTTCCCGGGGAGGCTGAGTAATGTGATGCCTCTGTAATTGGCACACACCCTCTGATCCCCCTTTTTAAAAAGGGGAACCACCACCCCGGTCTGCCACTCCTTCGGTACTGTTTCCGACTTCCACGCAACGTTGATGAGACGTGTCAACCATGACAGTCCCTCAACACCCAGAGCCTTCAGCATTTCTGGGCGGATCTCATCCACCCCCGGGGCTTTGCCACTGTGAAGTTGTTTGACGACCTCAGTGACCTCCCCCCGGGAGATTGGTGTCGATCCCCCGTCATACTCCAGCTCTGCCTCTAACATAGAGGGCGGAGTTGTCGGTTGTTGGACGCAATGTATTTTTAAAAGTTGTTTGCAAAGTTAAGTTCTAATATAACCATATATATAGACTCCATTATTATTCCTTCTTTACCTACAATGGAGAGATTAAAACGGATTCGTCTTGTGTTTCCTGTCCAGTGGTTTTCACAGTAACAACATCCAGTCGATCCCGGAGCAAGCCTTCATCGGGAACCCCTCGCTGATCACCATGTAGGTACCACACATCACATTTATTACGTGGCACAAACATCTCAGGGTCATAACAATGGTAATTACCAAAGATGTGTACTCTAGCTATCTCTAGGGCATAAATGAAGCAACATGTGGCCTTGATTTCTTGATTGTTATTGGTAAAAACGATCCATAGACTTGGATTTTTCACGGATTAAACTAACTTTACTTGGCCAAAATATTTCCCTAATTATTCCACTTGACAGCAGAAAATACCTGTTGTTTTGGTTCAGTATAAATGTTTTAAAATAATTGTTAAAGGCTAAAAAAAATAGTCAAAATATTACACCAAAAGAAGGGAAAATATGGAGAAAATTACAAATAAACCCAACATGGATGTGTGCATCATCACTTTGTTTTTCTATAGTTATTTCTTGTACACAAATTAACCAAAACGTGGCCTCGATTAAATTGTGTATTTCTCTAAATTGAATCCCCCTGGTTTTTATGTTATTGTGTTTTTACAGATTTTTCTACGACAACCCGATCCAGTCTGTTGGACGATCTGCTTTTCAGGATCTGCCTGAGCTGCGAACACTGTGAGGAAACTACAACGTCATAACAGCGTTAAATATAGAAACAGATATTCGAAAAATCACAATAAATGCACCAAATATTTCCAATAAATTACATTTGGTTCCTCCCCAGTAAATTATCTGCAGCCTCCTTAAATTCAGACACTAATTACTCCAAAAATACAAACAAAAGTGGAGGAAAATTCACGTTATTTTTGTCCATTTCTAGAGAAATTTCTCAAATAAACTCAAACTCTCTTTCTGTTTCTCAGCTCTCTGAACGGAGCCGCAGATCTCACCGAGTTCCCAGATCTGACGGGAACCAAGAGCCTGGAGAGCCTGTAAGACACACACACACACACACACACACACACACACACACACACACACACACACACACACACACACACACACACACACACACACACACACACACACACACACTCTCAAACACAGACACACACTCTATGTATACATAACTTCAGGTCACATTACATTGACTTACATGCATTTCTTGGAGCCTTACCTAACCCTAACCCTAACCAAGTTGTTACTCTAAAATGAATGATTCCCCTCATGGGGACCTCCCTTGTGTCCCCATAAGGGAGGCGTGTCCCCACACGTGACTGTGTAAACAGA